GAGGGCACGGTTACGGGTCTAGAGTTAGGGTTAGGGTTACGAGGTATAATTGGTTAAGAGCTGGTTTTTAGTAGGGGTTAGTTGCGTTAGGGTTAAGTTAATGGTTATGGTTAAGGTCTCTCTCTCTCTCTCTCTCTCTCTCTCTCTCTCTCTCTCTCTCTCTCTCTCTCTCTCTCTCTCTCTCTCTCTCTCTCTCTCTCTCTCTCTCTCTCTCTCTCTCTCTCTCTCTCTCTCTCTCTCTCTTTCTCTCTGTCTCTCTCTCGCTCGCTCTTTTCCTATCCCATTATATCTCACGCCTAATATAATACTCTCTCTCTATCCGCTGCAGGAGCGACCGCCTGAGTACGCTCAGCGCCTCGCTCGCATCAAGAGCGTCTGCGAGTCCAACCACCCGATCGCTCGCAAACTCCGCACGCAGTCGCTAGAGGTCAGCAGGAACATCATCGTCGACGACGAGTACAAGATTCTCTACTGCGCGGTCGGCAAGATCGCATGCACGAACTGGCGACGCGTCTTCCTGTCGCTGTACGATCCCGCACGGTTTCCGGATCCCCGCAACATCACAATAAAATCTGCACACACTGTGAAACTACGGCAGCTGAGCGACTACAAGTGGGACGAACAAGTGCATCGCCTCGACACCTACTACAAGTTCATGTTCGCTCGGCACCCGTTCGAGCGGCTGGCGTCGGCGTACCGTAGTAAGTTTACCTACGATCTTCCCTACAACCGACAGTATCACCGGCACTACGGTACACGGATCATAGAGTACTACCGGCCCGACGCTTCCCCGCAGTCGCTCGCAGAGGGAAAGGACGTCCGTTTCGACGAGTTCCTGAAATTTCTCGCCGATCCGGAATCGGATAGCGTCGATCAGAATCGACACTGGTCGCACGTGTACCACGCATGCAATCCCTGTCAAATCACCTACGACCTCGTCGGTAAGATGGAGACGCTAGAGAGAGACGCTGCTCAGGTGATACGAGAGGCGGGGGTCCCCTCTCTAATCTCCTTCCCGACCCGAGAGGACGCGAAATATCAAAACAAGATGGCGTCGGAGATCGTTGGGGAGCTGATGGCCGGTGTGGCGCCGTCTCTGGTGCAACAGATCTACCGGGTCTACGAACTCGATTTCTCAATGTTCGGCTACGAGTGGCCGATTCGCGGCACGTAATGCACGACGATCGATGACGTCAGCGAAACATGAGCGGTACGTGATGCACGGTACACTACTGTTGATGACGTCAGCGAAACGTGCGCGACAGACAATATTCGTGGAGCGGGGGATGATTTATCTGCGTCTGTGGTAACGCGCATGCGCTGTCGGTGAGAGAGAGAGAAAGAGAGAGAGAGAGAGAGAGAGAGAGAGAGAGAGAGAGAGAGAGAGAGAGAGAGAGAGAGAGAGAGAGAGAGGAGAGAGAGAGAGAGAGAGAGAGAGAGAGAGAGAGAGAGAGAGAGAGAGAGAGAGAGAGAGAGAGAGA